CAATTTCATATTTCTTTGTACACGTATCAATCATTTAATCTGATTTCTCCCCACATTTCGTTTGGACTTTGATGTCGAAAAATTACTATATTTCCACCTTGCTTTAAGTTTGATTGAAGTTATCAGTAACCATGTAAGTTCGATTTCCATCCATTCCGTTATGTTAATCACAGGTAAATAACTGTTAAATTCATAATGATGAGTAATCATTATGAGAAAGTAACCATTATATTGATTATTTGCTGTTTTATTTTGTTTTTGCCCATATTGACTGTTAACTACAAAGAGCAGGCTTTAATGACAAGTGGAGGTGTGTCAGCCATCTTGTGAGTGTTGAAATTACTTATCCCTTTTGGAAGAGGTTTCATGTGACTCAAAAGTTAGCGTTTTTTATTATGTTATCATTTGACAGTTGCTCATTAAACCTATCTAGTTAAGGTTGTTTCAGCATATGTATTAAGTTATGCTATTTTATACGTATTTTTTTGTTTCCAGAAAAAAGGTTAGGTCATTAGGTGCAGTTTTACTTCTTTGGTTATGAGGAATATTCATCGCACGAACCTTTGGCAATCTACGCCTTAAGATACAGAAGCGTCAACAACGTGCACCAACTTGCACCTGGGAAACACGGCGAGATAAGTGGTGTCAGATGTGTGTTAATACACACTACTAAATAGGTGCCAGGTTACCGCGTGACACGATAACTCCATAATTTTCAGAAAATTGCATAATAGACAAGTCCAATGTTATCAATTTGCTCCACGGCAAAAAATTTCTAGAACCGAGAATCAAGTAATGTAAGCTCCTTGAAGTAGTTTTTTTTCTGGTAAGACGTGGCAGTACAGGGCCCCAGACAGCGTCATTAGTTTGGTCACGTCAACATTAAGGGTGGCCTTTATTATGTATAAGCAGCACAATCATCCGCGCCACTTTCGTCTTCCTCATATGGCGATGTAATTGTTATAATGCATTACAGCGTTTTGACAGCCAAATCCTTTAACGCAGATACTAGCTTAATAATACAGTAAACCTTAAATGTAATGAACACATGGTAAAGATTCGTTTTAACGTCTCCTTCGCCTTTTACAAGGAAATGTATTTTTCTGTTGTATTTTGGTGTTCTTTGTTTAAATCGGACCTTCATTTTCTTTGGAAAATGTCGGAGACATATACTGTAGAACTAACCAACCAGTAAAACTTACCTAACCTTACCTAACTTCCTAGCCGGGGGGCGACCCCCACACCATATTAAACAGAAAGTACTTACTGTAGTTTGATATTCTGCACTCCCTCTTTTCCTCCTCTCTTCCGACCTGATAACTCTACAGCCAACTCTCCCCCTGATAAAGCCAATCTCTTTGACACCTTATTCTCCTCTAACTCCACCTAAGACAATACCAACTCTATCCCTCCTACTCCTGCTCCTACTGAACCTATGCACTTTCCTATAATCTCCACTTGTAGGGTTGCTGGTGTGTTTTCCTGATTGGATGTGAGTAAGCAGCATGGACCGGACGGAATACCCCCTCGTGTTCTGAGGGAGTGTGCTGATATTCTGGCCCCTGTGGTTGCTCGCCTCCTTCGCCTTTGCCTCAAAACCCAACTTTCCCTTCTTGGAAGCATGCCTTGGTTCAGCCCATCCGAAGAGTAACCATTCTAATCCCTCTAACTATCGCCCCATTGCCCTAACTTTATCCCTCTCTAAGATTTTCGAAACTATCTTAAACATATTTTCTCCGTCACCATGAACGCTTTTCTCTTTTGTCGGATCACCAGTATAGCGTTCGCCAGGCGAGATCTACTGGTGACTGCTCTCCTACTGCACCCATCTTTGGTCATCCTCTTTTAGGGATTATGGGGAAACTTTCGACGTGGCCCTCGACATCTCCAAAGCATTTGACAGGATATGGAACAAGTCTTTGCTTTCTAAACTTCCCTTTTATGGTTTCTCTCCCCGATTTTGTTTTCTAATTTCTAGCTTCCTTGAGAACCGATCCATGGCAGTTGTCGAGGGATCGATCTCTCGCTTTCTCTACCAATAATGGTATCCCACAGGGTTCTGTTCTTTCACTAACTCTCTTCCTTCTTTTTATAAATGATTTACTTGACACTACGACTAATTCTATCCATTCATATGCTGGTGATTCTACTCTTCTTCACCTTTTTCCTTTCCCCCTAATTCTCTAACTAGATCTGTTTTAGAGCTGATATCGTTTCATTTATCAATGCGGATCTGTGCAACATCTCCGAATGAGAAGGTAGAAACTTGGTTAAATTCAATAGTAATAAAACTCAGTATTTACCAATAACACTTTCCAAATTAGATGATCTCCCACCAATCACATTTCAGGACACTATCATTCTGCCAAGTTCTGAAATAGATATGCTAAGTCTCACCATTTCCTCTGCTATGTCATGGAAGCCACAAATCCACAACATTGCTAAAGCTACCTCCCGAAAGCTGGGAATGCTGTACAGATGCCGTAGCTACTTCACTCCTGAGCAGTTGCTTCAAGTATATAAGGGATTCATTCGTCCTAACTTGGAATACTGCTCTCATATCTGGGGTGGCTCGTTTTCTGTCCAACTGTTAGATTGAGTGGAATCAAAGGCATTTCGTCTTATTAACTCTCCTCCTTCAGTTGATAATCTTTCTCCCCTTTCTCTTCGCCGCAATGTTGCTTCACTCTCTTTTACAGATACTTTAACGGGCAATGTTCGGTGGATTTGGCATCCTGTGTACCGCCGGCAAGGCCGTGGGCTCGTAACACTCGTCTTGCCCGCGGTGCCCACAGTTTCTCTGTGGATGTCGGTCACACTAGAATAACCCGTTATAGTACATCTTTCTTTCCTCACACAGCCAAACTGTGGAATGCTCTTCCTTATTCTGTGTTTCCATACTCTTACAATGTCTCACTTTAAGAAGCTGGTTTTCCGGCATCTTCTTGTAGATTAACAAGGTCTTTTTCTTTTCTATTTTTAATTTCTTTTTACTCTTATTTTTTTCACCCCCGAGGCCCCGTTGTGGGTTGATGACCTGTGTCCGGGTGGGCTATTCCCCGTGACGGCAGATTTTTCGGAGTATTTACGGTAAATATATAATTATTCAACTTTAGACATTACCTCCAAAATAATGACTATCCAAGAATGTTGTAAGGTAACGTAACTTATATCTAAAGTCCAAATAGCAAAATATTAACTATTTCTAGAGAAACTGGCGAGGGCGTTATAACGAATCTTAACGTTATCTAAAAGTTTAAACGGGTGTTAAATTTACGGTTGAGCGAATAAGTACAGTAGTTTCCTTATCAGTCTCATTAAATGCTCGTTTAAACTGGTAAACTACGTAGTGTGCTACAAGACCCTCTTTATTATTCCTGCCTCTATTCCCACTACGTCCTCTCTAACAGCGAATTACTTAACGTGAGGAGTAAGAAATTAACCATCAGTGTCCTAGGATGATAGCTGGGTCCTCACGCCAGGCCTTGGTGATAATGATAACGCCATCCACTCATCACTTGCATACTCAAGTTATTTCTTAATGGAAAGATAGCACTACCGCCTGAGAAGATATTGGAAGCATAATGTATTGTCTAATGGTAGACCCTGCTGCCAAATGGCATCACAAAAATTGTGACCAAGACCCAGGTTGCTGATCTGTCTTGCTGCCACATTTACATTCAATTGCAGGGTCTCAATTGTTTCTCTTTGACAACACAACATACAGTACATACAGTATATCGTTTCTCTGTTCTTTTTTTTTTAGTTTTATATTTGTTTGTGGTCCTTTATTTTATTATTACTAGTATATTTTTATTTAATATATATATATATATTTTTGGGGTTAAATAGTAACTTATATTAATTATTATTATTAGCATTCGTATTATATTTTCGCCCCCAGGCCCTGATGTGGGCTAATCCTTTAAAAACAAACCGTCTCGTGTTCAGAGTTCGACATTACTTATTATTCTTAGGAACAGCCACATTTTTAAGAAGAGAAAATCTGCTATAAATAAAGAACAAGAATCATAAGGAGAAAGATTTCAGTTTTTCTCGAGAGTTAAAACCCAGAGATTAAAGGAAGCCCGAAAATGTTTGGAGTGGTGGACCATGATCAACAACTTTCAGGCCTGAGGATTGAACCCAATTGATTTAGTATAGGTTTCTCACGTACAGTACCTTCAGATGGTATAATTTCTTCCTCGTTGCAGTAAGTACACTCACCTGGGCTGGCAATATCGGCACAAGTTCTGAAAAGAAGAGTACTATAAAGTAAAAAGTTGGGACACCCAAATTGTTTTAGGAGTGTAAAATTAAACTAATATTGAATAACTTTGGTGTGGTACCATTAATGTGCAGTGTGACGGTGGTACTGTACCCATCAAAGTGTATAGTGTGTGATGGTGGTGTTTTAACACCAAGGTGTAATGTGACGGTGCCGTTACACCGTCAAGGTGTAATAATGACGGTGATGTTATCAATGCATATGGAGGTTCTCCCACGGAGGAGTCTTGCCGCCTCGTATCAGGCACTACATTACTCCCGATAAATGTAATGTGTAAATTTTCCCTCTTCTGTTTTGGTGTCCCGAGTTTATTACTTCCCACAAAATCAAACCATACTACAGCTGGAAGAATTACTCAAATTTAACGACTTTGTATGATCCCATAAGTTGCAAGAAATGGAAACAAAATAACCACGTGTATGATATCTAGAGAAAAAAAACTGTTGCTATTGAAAAACATACAATAGGCATATGATATTTCTCTCACCTGTCCCTAATTAATATGTACTTAGTCACTTCATCTTTGTTTGCTGATTCATTATCTCTGTGTTAAGGAATTCTAAATTCTGATATATTCGTTAATCTACCACTTGGTAAGCATGAGCAGTGGGTGGGGGCTTGAGCCAATGCAGTTGCCTTCCAAATAATCATGTTATCTTCGGGACACGCGGTAATGTTCTCATGTAACTCAAGGCTACACCGCACATATAATTCCTCAGCCACTTGTCACATAACCAGTCGATCATCTGCATCCAACAATTGCGGTGGGGTTGATTCAACCTTTTATACAGTCACAGTATTGTATCTTCCAGACAGTCTTTAGCATAACCTGACCAAGTTTTCTCCTACGTCTGCCAGATCCATCATGTTTTTCAAATTGGCGTGTGCAGCGCTGCTACTCTTACTTCCCCTGTGTACAAGCCTAAATGCACCCAGCAAACTGCCTTGTCCCCCAGATACTGAGATTTCGCCATGTGTGTGCACAGTAGGAGTCGATGTCGATATGTACGTAGACTGCTCACAGGTACAAGATGCAGATGAATTGAAGAAAGCCTTTAGCGGCAACATTCCTTTCTCTGATTTTACTAGTCTGGTCATCGAAAATAACAATGAACTCACAGAACTGAGGGTTGGAGACTTTGGCCAGGCCACCTTTAAGGAGATTCACATCACAGGAGGAATTTTGGATACCATCGACGAAATGGCACTTTCCAATAGCTATACCACGCTCACTATTTTAGAGCTCCAACATAATAGTATATCCAGCTTTCCATTTGAAGAAATATTTTCTTTCTCAAAACTCACACGATTCAGAATTGATGATAATGATATTAAGATCTTCCCTGAAATTGAATCTAGCACCCTGCAGCAGTTCAACATTGGATATAATCCACTGGGAGACATCACTGCAGATGCTCTAAAAAAAATTCCACACCTCGTCGAGATTGGTCTCCAAAGCACCGGGCTAACAGAAATAGCTACAGGTAATAGTACTGGTAGTTTATTGATGATGTCATCAGAAGTTAACTGAAACAGATTAGTATACATACACACGAGCGTTGATTTCTTTGGTAAAGGTTTACAAAACTGTTATCACCCGAAGGAAATGTGCGATTTGGTTTAATTGTTGTGTACACACTATTAGCATGATATTAAACACAGAAATGGAGACGACAATGCATAGGACGTAATAGAACCTGACCTAACAGACCCAGGGTTTGTTAGGTCAGGTTCTATGCATTGTCGTGTTAATTTATGTTTAATTTCATGCTAATAGAAACTCGTAAACATCTTACCTTACTATTGAGTTCATTAAACCATGTTCACAAATAAGAGCTAACAAACGAGATATCATCAAGAACTAGGCCTGATAATTCGCGATAACAATCACAACAAGGCAAGGTAAACAAGACGCTCGAACAAGTGATGATCGCGTGATGTACAAACTATAGATTATCTCAGTGGCGGCTCGTGAAAAATAAAATGGAGGGACTGTAAGCCTCACACAACAGTAGGATACACAAATTTGACCTACCTCAGGTATGAGTTGTAGTTGATGTCCACGAATTCCCAGGGCAACGATAAATTAATCATGTTATTCATATGTTTGGCTGACTGCTCATGTTTCACTATTTTCTGTGGCAAATGCCTCAAGTCAGTCACACCACTTTTCGTCCATGCCGAGTCCCCACCAAACAATAAGCATGGAAAGCAGAATAAAGTATTTGCCTCGTCACAACCACAGAGCCATAAACACTCATGTTAAACTGGCGTGTATATTCTTTGTTCCTGCTTGTACTGTTCTGTTGAATGGATAAAACTGGTGTAGGTCTTCCTCTTGCTTTGATTTCAGTCTTTACATTTAATGTCAGCTGGGAAAAGTTGATGTTTTGCAAATACTTCACTCGATTTTCCATCGTCAAAGGGTAATTAAAGAAAGCACAATTTAACCACACCGTCCACACGTTGTACGAGACTGAGCTGCTTCAAGTGCGGCGGCGGCGGCGCCAATTAATAACAGACATGAATCGTACAGCATTGACAGCAACTATGAAAGTAACTTAAATTTTGGTCTGGTTTTAATGAAAATTCACTTAGCAACGTATTTAAAATAATTAAATAACATATAAAATGATATATTTGTTGGTAGTGTATTATTCAGCTGTCTCTCTAAAGGAATCATACGCCTGGCAGTGAGTGTCTGGGGGACTGCAGCTCTCCAGCCCTATGCACGAGCCGCCACTGGATGATATAAGCAAAAGAATAAAGTGGTATATACATAATTCTAAACTTAATAAAGATGCGTAATTATTTTATTAAAAAGATCGGGAATAATGCAACTCAACTTTTACAATTGGAGAGGAAGGAATGGCGGCGGTAGGGAATTAAGTGACTTACAGTAAGAAAATGATTGTGGCATTTGAATTGCACCCAGAGACGTAATTTTAATGCCATAACATCAGTGTTCGCCGTGTTTTTACCCCATAATTGCCCTCATCTTTCATACCCTGCCCACTAACAAGGAATTTAAGATCGTAAGATAGAGTAATTGAACACAAATCCTAAAAAAATAAATTATTAGAAAATTGTCGTTTCTTTTAATATACCTAAAATCATCAAAACAATAAGTGTAGCAAAAATAAAGATAATCAACAAAAACTTTTAATGATAACAGTTTCGTAAACATTTACCATTTCTTTTTGTTCATATTTGCTGTGTATGGTTGAGAGCATTAGCAGAGTAGCAGAATTCCGGCTTATTATGTTTTCTTCACTTAATTGTTTCCATAAAAATAACTCAAAGGTTTTGATCCTCAAAACGGTTAATATTTTAAATATCTTTAAAACCTTTGATAAAACTGTGATATTGAAATTCACTAATGCTATAACTCAGTATAATTCTGCAACTATAAATACTGTAAATTCATTCACGCGGATAATTTTTATTGAACCATCATACCCTGTGGGCAGGTAATACTAAACTTATATTTTATATTAAAATTTGAGGACAGTTACACGCTTTCAAGCCTTTTTCCACCAGTTTCTGATTACGTCACTTTTAAGAATGCATAAGAAACTTACTTTGGAACTTTTCGCAAAACTCTCCGAGCATCCAAAAGCCCAACAATTTATAAGAATGATTTCTCCTATTTACAAATTTGTAAATACTGTAGTACTGTACTCTGTTTTTCTCCTTTCAAACCAGCGATCTATGACGTGACTATTATAGTCAATATTAATATTGGCACTTATTTTGAGTGATAATGATTTTTTTTTAATTTGACATAGTTATTGCCTATTTAGTGTATGAATTGGCTTGGTTTACGCAGTTTAATTGTTAAAATACAGAAACACATGAATACAACAACACTGGTCCTGTACGAAATCTTTAGTTGTACAGTATAAATTTATGTCAGATTACTGGTTTTATTATCAACGGCTCTGTAATCTATAAGTAGTTGCCAATTAATAAGGGACAAAAGGGACAGTTGCCCCCAGGGTCCCAAGATGTGAGGGGCCGCAAGGTCCTACGTAAATTCCTTGCCGGTAAATATATATTCCACCATTTTTTGCCCTAAGAAAGAAATGAATTCTAAATACTATATATGATAATTATGGGACCACGGTCTTTGTTTTCATGCTTGCTAATATAATGTAATAGAAATACATATTTGGTTAATAATTCAGTAGGGGATTTTATATTTAGTTATGTACAACCAGATAAGACGTCTGAGTTGCATTTGAACTATTAAAAAACAAATGCAGTTCCTGACTTACAGATTGATCGGCTTGGTATTTTCACGTCAAATTTGGCATTTTTCGGTGATTTAGCATTTAGTACAGTGTAGTGTACTGTTTGTGGCCAGTTGTCAATTCTCTTTAGTTGTCTATTATCTCTTTGTATGGGCACACAAACGTACGTACATGTAGATACCTTCACTCAGGAATGAGGTTGGATAGAAACTCACGATGTGCTTCCTGTATATATTGTGGTACAGTGCAGTACTTAGGAGTGAGTAGGTGAGGAGCTGAGAGAGATGTTGCTGGTCCAGTAGTTGAGTGTAGGATGATCTCCCTGGGCAGGCGTAGCCGTATTTATACAATTTACCAGGATCAGGATCTGGGCTGCGCGTAGCGAGCGGACCAATCACAGCGGCTCAAGCGTAAGGTGTGAAACGCTCTGATCCTGAACTGGAGGTTGATGGTCGAGACTAGGTCGGCGATCGTACCCCTACGTCCTCTGCATAGACCTAGTCTCTCGGCGTAGCTGGCTGTACGCTGATTGGCTGGTCGGAGTGCGGCCGGAGCTCAGTTGGGAGTTGTAGGGGAGAGTAGCCACTACAATACTCCCCCTCCCCTCCCGGCGCGGCGGGAGGCTGGATGTTGTCCGGGTTGTGTCCCACACATAACACATACCGGGCAGGTGTATGTACGACTCGGCCGCTACGTGTAACAACTCCCTCCAGTGACACAAAACCTGTGGGAGAATTAGGAGGAGAAAGAGGGTTTGGGATTAGAGGAGGTTGTACAAGCAGTGGTTGTTGTGCTCCTGCTGCTGCAGGGGCTGCGTCAGGAGGAGGGTCCATGGCAGGAGCAGGTTCTACGATAGGTGCAGGTTGTATGTCAGGAGGAGGGTCCATGGCAGGAGCAGGTTCTATGTTAGGAGGGAGGTCTAATGCAGGTTCAGGTTCTATGACAGGAGGAGGGTCTATGATAGGTACAGGTTCTATGATAGGTGCAGGTTCTATGTCAGGAGGAGGGTCCATGGCAGGAGCAGGTTCTATGATATGAGGAAGGTCTATGCCAGGAGCAGGTTCTACAGCAGGAACAGGGTTTACTTGAGGGTGAAAAGAGGGTGCCCAGAAATGTCGTGGGCGTGGTGTTGCTGCCGGTGGTAACTGCGGGTAGACTGGTGCAGGCGTAGTTTGTTGATGGTGCTGCTGGACTGGGGGCCCAAAGGGTAAGGTGGCCGGTTTGACTCGGTCTATGCTGACGGTGTCATGTCTGCCATTCCGGATAATCGTCAGGAACTTTGCTGAACGGGTAACCACCTGGAAGGGTCCATCGTAGGGACGTTGTAATGGGTTGCGATGAGCATCACGCCTGACGAAAACATACTCGGCTGTGAGTAGTGCAGGAGGGATGTATTCAGGGCGCCGAGGAGGCTGGCGTGGAGTAGTAGCTCTGAATGCAGAAACTGCTTGTCGTAGCTTTTGGAGTAAGTCGTGACGAGCGGCTGGAGTGGTTTGGTGAGGGTTAGGAGGGAGTGAGAAATCCCCAGGTAGCCGAAGGGGCTCGCCTAGTGTAAGATCTGCTGGGCTACAGTCCATATCCTCCTTGTGTGACGCACGGATGCCGAGGAGCACTAAGGGAAGCGCATCAGTCCAGCTGTAAGGGTCGTGCTGTGCCTTGAGTGCGTCCTTTAGCTGCCGGTGAAAACGCTCTACCATGCCGTTGGCTTGAGGGTGGTATGCTGTAGTGCGTTGTCTAGACGTGCCGAGGAACTGTAGGAGGTGCTGCCAGAGTTGTGACTCAAACTGGACTCCTCGGTCAGTGATTACGGTTGCGGGGGGGCCGAAACGGGAAACCCAACCGGACATGAAGGCGCGGGCAGTAGTCTCTGCTGTAGCATTGGGCATGGGAATTGCTTCTGTCCACCTGGTGAAACGGTCGATGCAGGTGAAGATGTAGGTGCTGCCGTAGGATGATGGAAGAGGTCCCACGATGTCGAGGTGTACTACTTGAAAACGTCCTTTGGGAATAGGGAAAGGTATGTAAGGGGGCCCGTATGTGACGATGTACTTTGGAGGATTGGCAGGCCAAGCACTGGGCAGCCCATTTCTTAGTATCGGACTTGATGCCGGGCCAGACGACACGTTGAGTGAGGAGGCGCTGGGAGGCCCGCCCACCCGGGTGGCTGAGACCATGGATGCGGTCGAACACCGCGCGGCGGTGGACATGAGGCACGAACGGTCTAGGATGCC